CGTCACGATAGAAGACGGCAATGACGTAGGTATTTATTTATTTATTTTCCAAGGAAAGATAAAAACAAGCAGCTGATCACAAACGGCAAACATTATGTCTTTGCCGTCTTCTATCGTTACGTCATGCTTGACGAGCATTACGGCCTGTTTTTTTAGTGTAGCCTTGGTTTTGCTAAAGTTTAAACGATGAGTAAAAGTGTAAAAATGTTAAATTCCTGGGAATAATAAAAAGTCTTTTATTGCAAGTATTCTTCTAACCTAAACTTATAAAAAAGTTCTTCCCATAATCTTTGGGAAAAAATTCACAAATAGAGTTAAGTAATGGTCTATTATCTACATTGTATATTTAAGGCATGTAATCCCTTCTTATTATTATTCTGTTTTCACTTAAATCAGCTGAGTGCGATGTTTACTTAAATTACTTATGTTTAGGCCTACATTTCAGCCATCTTATTTTATTTTTCAATAAATTAGTCTTTTTGCAGTTTTACACATTGAAATACATGATTAATAATTCAGTTCATTTAAGTCTTTTAAAAGTGTTTTACATTTGAGTCTTACATTGAAATAGCCCTACATTTTTCGTAGGCCTATGTTTTATCTTGGACTATCAATACAACTAGACATTCCATCCCCATGTTAAATTTATAGCCAGCTTTTTCATCAAAATCTTCTGTATCCAATGGTCAATGGTTTTATTAAGGCCAGTATTAAAATGCCGTCTCTAAATCGTCCCAATAATGGTAGAAGACCTACATTCCAGTTACATTGCAATCATATCAAGAATACTTGGTATTAACAATCATAAATTATTTTAAGCAAAGAAAGCTGAGTTTAACCGATTGCAAGGGTTGAAATGAAGACCAATGTTTATGTTGCACAGTTGAATTTAAATGTCAAATTTCCCCTCCTGATGTTATACTTTAATACTCGTTTTTTAAATAGTTACTGTTTTCTTATACTTAAATACTTTAACCGATTGTAAGGGTGGAACATGAAGACCAATGTTTTTGTTGTAGGCTACAGTTGAATTTGAACGTTAAATTTCCTTTCTCTTTTTTATACTTTAATGCCCTTTTTGAATGTTAATATCAGATTCCAACTACTGTAATATTTTCCTGGTCAAAACTACCATAATGCACTTCTGGAAGAGGTGTCTGAATAACAAGATGTAGTAAAAACAAATTTGAATTATAATTTTAATCAATAAAACAAGCATTAATACATCTATTGACTTTTTTACATTTAGTTACTTATACAAATATCAAATCACGTTTGTTCCGCTCAACTGGCTTTCACCTCTCTGAAAGCAACCCTAGTATTAAAACCAACCGTTGATCATTAAAATTATTATGAATTATAAGTTTTTGACATAGGCTAAGCTAAACTTAATGTACCACTTACATCACAATGTCTGTCTTTGTTTTCCTACAAATAACTCACCTGTAACAAAACATATTTCGTTAGACATGGTGATACTGTACAAACTAACCTAATAAAACTGAGTATCCTATCAGGACTAGACTACCACCGCTGTAACGCACAACGCACGTGTAGCTTCTTGGCACACGTACTACAGTAGTGGGACAACAACGTCTTATATACAGTATTCAGAATAGTTGCAATGACATATTCCAACTTGCACGCAAATGTCAGCTTATTTCATGGCTTCATCGATGACATTAAAGTGATTCATCTCGTTGACAGCTCACGCACGCCTGATGATAATCTGAGCTCAAATCCATTATTACATTACTGTATTATCAAGCATTATGTTACACAGATACATCGATTATGATATATCCGATACAACAAGGTACGCCTAAAGCGATTCGCTATACACTTGATCAAAACGTGGTGAATCATTAGTATAGCTTAAACGTAGCCTACATGTTTGCTACTGCAGATGGCCAGGGCCACAACCACCAACGGAGCATAGCTGAATTTGACACAGATGCCAGCATTGCCAGCCAGCGCGTTAACACCAAGGTCGGGAACAGCCGAAAACTGCGAGGTCACTGTTCAAGGCGATGCATGGGTTTGTGTTATGGACCACCGTGAAAGGGGGGCTTCCATGCTCCTTCATATATAGACAACGCACAAAATAACTAATAACAATATATAAAACAATATCGCAGAATATGGGGTATTGGATTAGGAATAGTGCATTTACAGACCCTCTGCAGACGAGTGGTTCGTGTGCTGAGTTCCCAAAGTAGCCAATGCCCAGCGCAGACCGCGGACAGAATGACACCAATTAACATAACAGACCGGCCTTGTGCTCGTTTGACAGGACCGATTTTATGCTTCTTAATTAATTTGATTTATGAATACCCCACGGCTGAACTGGTATAATAAATCCCTAAGCTAACTGGGCATATTGGTGTGAAATGCTATTGGTTGTTGAGAAATACAAGCGGATCAACTATTAGTCCGACTTTCAGATTCACTGTGCGTGAAGTGAAGAAAGTCTGTCCAGAGGTATGTGCAATTAACTGCCGGATATTTCACGGGCATTACGTAAGTGTTCGTTGTGTCATTTAGGAGCTCCCACGTTTACGTTGGTCTGTGTCTATGGCCGGACACAGTGACCCTCGACTATAAAGCAATGGTCGGTGGCAAATTTGATACATTTTGTCATCCGAGAATATTACACAACTTTACTCAACAGAATTAATCAGTTGTATTCATGTGAAAAGACTTAGTTTGTGCATGTTATCTCGCTCGATTTGGATATTTGTTATGTAGTATTTTAAACAATAACATCGAGGATTTTTCGATCTTTTTCAAAAGTAATTGTGAATTTAATTACCCAACGACCTTTAAAAAATGGGTTCGCCGTCAGATTAATATTAAAGATGATGAAAATACAGATACTTAAGTAAGCTTATCGAGTGAGCAAAGAATGCGTCACAAACTCCAGATTGGGGACAGTCGATAACTCTGATAAGATAACACAAGTTAGGTATCGCAATGGTTACCGAGCTCGCCTAGTGGGCTTCTGTTTCACAAATAATATTCAATGACAGGAAAAGTAATAAATACTTCCTACCGGATCTTGGCTCGAGGCTGTACCCAGATACCCTTGACATGCAAATGCAACTTTTACTTCGTTTAAAGAGCTGTTTGGTAGGCCTATTGGATCAGATTTGGAAACAAGGCAGTGTACACCTGTGCACGTGTGTGTTCGATAACACACAGCTCGGCGTGGTGTATACAGTATACAGTATAAACATCAGCTGTCAACAGAATGGTTGTCAGGAGTCAGGACGTTTGACAATTGGAGAATAAGCGCCGCTTCCTCAATCTGTTCGCCCACAACATTTCACTTGATTGCGATAACTCGCCTACAAAACATCTTGTCACAGGAGCGAGTATACAAAGTGCTGATGATATCCATCAATTGACTTTTAAGGAGGGTTTATTCGTTCCGGAGCGGTATTTTTGTTAATTTGGTTAATCACCTAATTTCTCTTGAAACAGTAAATACCGTAACAATGTAAAATATTAATACCCCACCGCAGCAAACCTGACGACTAAGCGAATTTCCATTTGCCTGATTTGATTTTCAATTAACTTAAATGTATTTAATTAACATTAGGTTTTATGAGTAGCCTACCTAGGCTTGCTGCTACAGGAAGGGTAAAAAAGTGTGTTTTAGTAAAATATTAATAACTTAGTATAAAATAAATAAATTTACCAAGTTTGATAAAAATATATCCATTAACAAGAAAACTACATTTTACAATATTCTCCATAAGGATAACATGGGAATTTCAAAATAACTTTTTTTTTATTTTCATCGTAACCAATAATTGTACAAAAACACTTTGCTAAATTATTTTTTTAGCTCTTTAAAAAGTTCTTGAGAGAAACTGGAAAATCGTGTGTTTAGTTTAGAGGGTCAACAATTAGAAAACCCAATTTTTACCCCATAAAACCCCGTTCCCATGTCCGATGAAGCTGTTTCGCGAACTCATTCAAGTTTATCATTGTTTTAACCATGAATATCTTCTACAAGAGATACTGTACTCCTATCATGTGTTGGAGAGGTGAGTGTACATACCATCGACATCAACACAGTCATTGAGCCACAGAGCTTGAGTGACGTCAACAAACACCACGTGGTACAAGCTGCACTGACAGTAGGGTATGGCGAGCGATGCTTGGCTCAGGTATACCGCGTGCATAGCTCACAACACGACACAGTCAACACTCACACTCACACACTCGCTATCACGACCGCAACACTGATAAGGACAAGCTCTAGCTCACGATCACTCCAATGTAGGCCGCATAATTAGATAGCTAGTCACCTTTCCTAATCAAGATCATTAAGTATTTCTATGAAAGAAGATAAATGATGAAACAACCGAAAATGCAAAAACACCACCCACTGCCAACAGTATACAACAGAGCTCTCTTGAACAGAGTCTGGCTGTTATCTGCTGGCCTTGGAGTGACGTCATCTGTCCGCGACACAGAGGAATACATCTACATAATTACGCACCTCTAACGAATATGCATACGTTTACCTCGTGCGTAACATCCCCCCACTCACTAGCAACTTCCGATAATATTATCCAAGAAGGTGACAACAGGGGTGTGGCGATGTGCAAGAATGCAATTGTACGACGTGTCACTGTCCTGTCAGCCATAGCCTACAATGTATTAACGACATTCCCCCAGCTTTTAACTGATGTCTGAGGTGAAGCTGACTGCTGAGTGCTGCCAGAAGATGCGGAACTACCTGTCAGCACAAACAGTGCAACGACCAGTGAAAGCTCACATTCACATTCACGGACCACTGAAGATTGCCAACACGCCAACACGCCAACCCCAACGATTGGACGATTTTTACTCCTAAATCACGAGGTTTTTGTCTGATGATGCCTTCAAATTTATCGTCATTAGACGTGGGAGCCCTGGTGTAGTATTAAATACAGTTTTCTAATTTTAAATTTACATGCTTGGAAATTAAACTATAACTATGTACTCACCCTTGTTTATGATTCGGGTTCCTGAACTTTTCGAAATAGACTTCTCGTTCGGAATCGGAATCTGTTTTTCGTTTTCAGTATTCTTCTTGACATCATCCGTCGATTTCTCTTCTTGTTGAATGTTACTTCGCTTTTGCTCTGCCATGATGAATTCTTTATTTTGGTCAGTATGTTTAATCGTCCCTTCAGACCTAACATCATCCTTTTTACTAACAGTCACTATTTCATGTGATTTACTTCCTATCTTATTTAGAGGTTGTACTACATTCGTAACTACCTTGTGCCCATCACTTTTAATTTTGATTTCATCGCCTTTTTTAGTTTTAGTAATCACTTCTTCCACAATATTCACTGTGGTCTCTTGATGTCCTTCGGACTCTCTCATTTTATTATCATCCTCCCTCTTTACGCGTTTGTCTCGTTTCTTCTTGTTTTTTTTATCTTCTTCTTTCCTTCTTTTCTCTTCTTCTTTTTTAGCCTTCTTTGAACGTTCCTCCTCCTTTTTCCTCCTGATTTCTTCCTCCTTTCTCGCTTTCTTCGCAGCTTCCTCCTCCTTCTTGGTTTTCTTTAGAAGTTCCTGTTCCATCTTTTTGCTTTTCTTGGTAAGCTCCTCCAGTTTCCTCGGCTCTTCCACTACCTGGATGCCGTTATCCTTGGTCGCCTGTTGCTCGGCCATGATCAGCTTGGCCGTAGCCAGATTTGCTGGACTCTCGGTTTTCATGGTAACCGCGATTTTCTCGTTGTCAGAGTTCCTGTGGTGGATGTTTCGCACAAAGTTCAGTCCCAAATCAACCTAACAATAACACACCATTTATTGACCGAACTCATTAAAACAAGACTCCACTCATTGGATGTGTTACAACAACGTCGTATTATTATAATTTGCCAAAATTTGTTGACCAGAACATCTTTATAGTTTAGTAAAAGGTGAATTCATAGATCATTTAGAATTTTTTCTTAATATGACCCAACCACCAATTCCACATCCACTAACTGACTACCGGTAGTATATCTGTACACCAAGTTATGCAATGCATGAATTAGTTTGTAAAAAGCCGAAATATATGCAGCATAATTATACGCAAGGCCATATAAGTGTCATATCCACAAATAACGATTGACTATGTAGTCATGACTCATCCAAACCTTAACCTCCATTTTACCGACCTCTTTTAATTAAGTTATTTAGTTTCATTGATAATCTTTCATATACAAAATCTAGACAGTCTGTCAATTAATTCCGTAAAGAATGTTTCAAACATCGTATTATTAGAAATGCAATCAAAACCAAAGAGACGCGAGTAACAATGGTAGTGAAGGATGCAATCTTCAATTCCGACCTGCCAACTTCGGGTGATCAATTCTAACAAAAAATTAGATTTGGAATTTAACTGTCCATGGGGGAAAATAAAAAATCGTCTCTTACAAATTACTTGGTAAACGTATCATCGATAACTCGTCCACTCACAATTGATTAAAATCAGAGGTATGTTATCAAAGCGTGTGTGTGTATGTGTGAGATGCAGATTCAGCGATGATGTCAGTCATGACAGGCCAAGGCCGCTAACTCTTGCCACTCTTGCCCAACAACCTGATCCGCCCTTTAAATATTCCTCCTATAACACACAGCGTGAAAGTGAAATAAGTATAGTAACGGAGCCAACTGTTTGTTTAATGTATTTTGACACGTAAATTACAATCCACCGATTGTTTGTAATACAAATTACAAAATTTTTCCTTAATATCGGTGAAGGCCCAAAACATTAAATTAGCATTCTTGACAGCTGACACAAACCAGATTGGAATACAGTAGTACTTGGTCGTGGTATTTAACAAATTACTAAAATTACATCATTGCAAATTTAAAATGTAAATGCTACTTTCACGACTACCGAATCATCGTACAAAACTTATCATTTCATGTAAATGTGTTAGACAAAAACCTTGTATTATTGATCGGGATTATTATAAATACAGCACCACGTATGTATTTGTGTATTGTAAAAACCAACCGAGTTAATAAACAAGTTTTGAAAGAACCTGAACGAAACCAAGATAAGGCTGAAGTGAACAACACAAATATAACAAGTTTTATTGCTTGATAAGAAATAACTAGAACGTTTCTACCTGCACGACACACGTCCTCCAGTTATGAATAACACGGAAAATATGAACTGTATGATTGTTGTTTACATATACAGTATACTGTGGATATTAGGGTAATATTAGGTTACTGTATGTTAAAATTATGACGAATACTCGGATTTAAATAATATTGAATATTATCACTCTAAAAAGCATTTGAAGTCAGGATATACCTATTCGACCAACACCGTACCAAGGCAATTTCAGAAATTCTAAAAGCAACACACACAATTAATTGGCAAAACTAAACACGTCATACAGAACACACCGGAACCGGTCGCTAGAAAGCCGGAAACGTTGTGTAATGTGGTCGGTTACGAAACACGGGAAGTGGAATGTCAAACAGACACGTTGGCGGCGGCAAAAACAATAAGTGCACGGGATACGGGATGAGTGGCGGGCTATATATAGCGCTGATAACATAGTCGTGGTCCAGCGTAAGCCGTGCCCCGTGACGTAGCCTACTGTACTGTACCCCTGTACCACTGTACCACCGCCGCTGCCTAGTGCCACAGAAAACGTACTATTATAATAACTGTTATAGTAGTACGTTATAGTTAGTACCATTGACTATAAACGTTTTCTGTGCTAGTGCCTACCACTACTGGCCCACCCGACAGTGACTACTGTGTAATCCCCCTAGTACTGTGTACTCTACATATCAAAACTACAGAAGACGCACTTTGATTGAGGGAAAAATCATTGAAATAAGAGATTTACAGAACCTTGCATAAGTTGGATGGTTAAATTACTTGTGTAAAATTATTTGTGACGAAACGCGAAAAAAGGTAAAATTTGGCTATAGACCAATCAATGACAAATTCTAAATATATATCTATGAGCAAATTCGACAAACCTTATTTTTAGAGTACAGCTTATAGATTACGTTAGGATAACACGTTTAAAGAAACACTCCATAAAGTTGGTTCACAACAATAATCCCCCGCAAGCCTCACACGAAGAACGAACAAATAACAAAAAAAAACCACACTAGTAAAGCTGGCGAAACAGCTATGAGAGGAAAAATAAAAACACAATGAACGAGTGTTGGAACACATCCAAGACGAGTGGAGGGGCGAAAACAGAAAATCAACAACGGCACACAGAGCAACGTAAATTGAGCAAACTAAACCATTAGTGGTAAATACCGCACGATCAAGCGGCGGAAAGCGACGCGCCTCGAACCGAACCAAACTGAAACTGGCGACGGGGACGGCCGCTGGAAATAGCCACGGCTAGGTCGTCGTGGTGACAGTGGAGTGGAAGTGGAAGTGGCAGGATCCACTCCCCACTCCTGTGGTGGTTGGTAGCGGAAGTTGTGGTACAGTGACTATGGTGCATATCATGTATGTGCTAATCATTAACTCGTTACCAGCGCAGATAACTGAGCAAGACGATAGAATTTTACAACGAAAGAGATACCGTCTTTCTCTTTATTCTGTGATGACGACGATGACGTAAAAACTTATTGGATACTATTTTAACATATTATTTGAATCACATAAAACGCATTTTATAAAGCACACTCTAAATGGTTCAATCACTAACTTTAAACTATTGTAGCCTATCGAATGCTTCGTGCACTATGTGGATTTACAGCCTACGTCGCAAATTTTTACCATTTTAACCTCAAGTACTAGTGGTGTACCAAGGTAAGGCAATAACCTCATTGTATAGCATTACAGAGAAGCCACCCGCACGTACACACACGCCTATTCAGTGTCGAGTGTCGTGATATGTACACGACACTCGACGGCTGTGACACATTACTGGAATCAAAACTATTATAAATTATAAAGCTCAAGGTTCTGAGGTTAAATCAGTCTGTAGGTTACAACAATATCCGACTTAGCCACACGAATCACTGAGGTCTATGCGAGCAACGTGCAACGTGCGAGCAAACTGACCATCGAAGTAAATAAATACGTACAACAAACTAACCCGATGCGGTACTGGTACAACACAAGTTAAAACTGGTTAAAACGTACCGGTAAAATTTCTGTGGTGGCAATGGAACTGAGATGAGAACCCAAGGATTGGCTACCTTGGTTCCACTTACTGACTGTCGTGACACTCACTGAGTCACCGAGTCAAATGTAAAAATCAATTTACGGTGTAAACATACGGCTAGAGGGTGTGTTGAGTGAGGTAAGCGTAAGAGACGTAGCGACTTTCTCCCTATACATGGCCAACTGTCTTGGACTGCATTTTATGTAAATCATCGCTCGCCTGTAACTGTAGTCTCATGGCAAACATGTCCAGGGAATACAAAAAATGGCCGTGTTATGACAGTAAATTCTTTTAGTGGACGAATCAATACTAGGTGGCGTTCGCAGAGGCATCCACAAAATTGAGCTGAGTCATCAAGGGTTCATATTATATTGTTTTTGTCATACTGCAGTAAAAACAGTCGTTTTTAATGCATGCGTTGCGAGTCTAAAGTAGCATTTTTACTCTTTAGGGAGAAAAAATCGTTTTAGCCACTATGGAGTATAAATCAGCTGTTGTCAACTCAGTTGTAAATTTCTATTGTAAACGATTGCATGTATCGAAATATGTATCGATTCGTGCTTCGTAATCATTTCGTAACCTACAGTCTACAGTCTCTTCCCATAGCATTTTAGCATTGCAGATACATTAATCCATTCCCACACTCAACACTGCTCACCTTTACTACCTCCATCACCACCCCTAACCCACCTAACCACCCCCCGCCCGTCGTGGACCTGTTTCCCTCTCTTGCTATAGCATTTTAGGATTGCAGATACATGAATGTAATTATCAAAGACAGTTACCACACTCTGTACTGCAGGCCTTACTACTTCCTTCACCATTTCCTACGTCATAAACCTGTTTCCTTCCCTTCTCATAGCATTTAAGTATTAGATACATTTATCTAACTGCCTTTTTTAAACGGCCCCCCTACTCTGCACTGTCAGTCTTTACTACTTCCTTCACCACTTCTTACGACGTGGGGCCTGTTTACTTCCCTTCTTTCTCATAGCATTTTAGGATTGAATATACATTAATCCAACTGCCACCGACCGTTCTCACACTATGCTCATACTTAACTAGGCTACTTCCTAAGCCACTTCCAACATCGTGGACCTGTTTTCATCACTTTCCATAGCATTTTAGTATTTTAGATACGTTAATCTAATTGCCACAAACATTGCCCACACTCCGCACTGCTAGCCTTTACTACTTCTTTCGCCATTTTCTATGTCGTAGGCATGCTTCCATCCTTTCTCATAGCATTTTAGCATTGCAGATACATTAATCTAACTGCTACAAACGGTTTCCAGTTCCCACACTCCACACTGCTCACCTTACCACTTCCTTTTAACCTCTTCTTACGTCGCGGACATGTTTCCCTCTCTTCCCATAGAATTTTAAAATTGTAGATACCTTAATATAATCGTCATAAACCATTCCCACACTCCGGACAGCTCGCATTGACTACTTCCTTCACCACTTCCTACGTCTCGGACCTGTTTCCCTCCCTTCCCTTAGCATTATTGGATTGCAAATACCTTAATCTATTGGTCATAAACAGATCCCACACTTCAGACAGCTCGCCTTTACTACTTCCTTCACCACTTCCTACGTCACGGACCTGTTTCCCTCCCTTTCCATAGCATTTTAGGA